AAGTCTGGCTCTTTTGCCTAGGCTGGTTTAGAATTCCTGGCCTCAAGTGATCCTCCTGCCTCAGCCTCCCAAACACTGAGACTGTAGATGTGAACTGTCACAACTAGGCAATCCCCTTAACTTCTATTTTATTTGTTCCATTTTTAATGACCATTTAAAGAATTCTACCTTGCTAGGACGAGTCACATGAATCTTTTAAATTTTCTCCTAGTTTTACCTCATTAATGTTTTGTTTATTAGTCTTATTTCTTAATAACCACTAAAAATTTTACATTTTCCTAGGATGAGTCCTTTGACTGTCCCTTTTGCCTTTCCTCATTCTCTTATTAGTTAACCTCCTTATGTTGTTATTAACATCTGTAAGACACATGAAGAGACGTCATGACAAGACATTTGATGAGGCTTCTCTATTCTGCAAAAGCAATCTCACTAGGGATACCCATGTATAAAGGGTTCCCTTAACCATAGCATCTACCATGACTAGAGGAATGGGCATATTCAGCAGATGAATACCCATGCTGTCATAAACCCAGTCCACATGACTTGCATACGAAGCATATCAGTTGCTTCACCTGGGGTCCTCCACTCCACTCGAGATGGGAAGTCTCCCATCTCAGGGAAACAGGCCTGGGATCAAGTGATCCTGGGAAAAGCTACTTACTGTAGCTTTTACTGAGTCCACTGGACTGTCTCTTCTCTCAGGAATAACCTCTGTGTGTCTGGATCATGTATAACCATTTGGGAATGTGTAATAGTGATCTGTGGGTCCCTCATCAACCCAAATACGTTTTTCCACTCTGCAGCATTTAAAAACAAAGACACTGCTCCCAATTCGTATCTCTCATACTCCATTTTAGTAAAAAAAAAAAAAAAAAACACTACAAAAATGCAGCCACTTGTCTCCCTGCTTATGCTCTTTCCTTTTTTCCTTCTACTTACTCTTTCCTCTTCAGATGCTGAAATTCCCAAAACCCTCTTTGGAGAGCAGAGGTCACAGATGTTCCTGTGGTATGTTTTCCCAGGCACATCTTCAAACTTTGGCTAAATATCCCTCTCTGGATTCCGATATCTGCCTCAGTCACATTATAGTTAACGTTATTTTTTTCTTCATTATGAAACAGTCTTTAAATTGTCTACAAACTAGAGAAAGACTTTTCCTTTAGCAAAAACCACATCCTCATGTTTTTTATACTCTTCTTCTCTGAAAGTGCATCTTAAGTTCTTTATATACTCTGTTTGCAGAACTGTTTCTCTTATATTTAGCAGTTTTAATTACATATGCTAATTATAATTTTTTTGCACCAGCAATTTTTAAAAACTATCATTACTTATCAAACATTATTAAAGCCACATGAACTAAAAGGCATTTTAGTTATTTCTATTTTTTCTGGTAAAATATTCCATCAA